CCTAGGAGGCTGGCTGCCCGTGCAGCCCCTGCTCTGGTGCTCACTGTTACTGGGGCAGGAGCTTAGGTCGAAAGTGGGGCAAGTCGGGTGGACCCACCGGCTGGACAGTGCGAGATCTCTGACACAAGCTCTATCTCAAAAGTCCCCTGCCCCGCAGAAGCAGAGGAGTGGGCACACCTCAGAGAGTGGCTCCCTAGAGATGCCACACAGAGGAAGGAAGAAGCTCTCGATTGTCACCACGACCCAGGATGGCCCTAAGGGATGCTGAGGCTTGTGTGCAGCTCGTGGAGCGTGACCCAAGGCCTAACCCGAGGCACTACGGCTCTGGGCGCAGCACAGAACATCTCCAGGGACTTCCTCCAAGGAGGTGACAGGACCACTCGCTGGCCAGGCGGGGTCCTGCTATGAGACGTGACAAATGCATCTGTACAGAGGTCCTCTTGTTCTGATTGGCTGCTAAGCTGCACCTGCCTGCGGACTGACACCTGGGCCCAAGAACACCTGAGGGAGAGTGGGAAGTCGCCATGTGCCAGCCTTCCTTCTCAGCTGCCCGCCCTCGGCTCTGACACAGCCCTGCGCTTGGCTTGGCTCTAGAGCGCTCCTGCCGTGGGACCTGCCTGCACCTGAGGTGCACTAATGTCATGTGCTGCAGGGAACCAGGATGCGTTCTCTGAAGGGAGAGCTGGGAGGCACTGGGGCGTCGTAGGATGAGCACTCTGCTTGCACACCAGGCGGACTGAGGACTCACACGCTGCTGTCTGTGAGGGACAAGCTGTCGGCATCGCTTGATAGACTCTGCTGCTCGCTGTCATTGGCGCTGGTGGCCGGGGCCAAGGCATAGCCGGAGCTGACGTAGTAGGGGTTGACTGGCTCCCGCCACGGTCCATACCTGTGGACAAGACAGCGGTTAGTGGTGCCTGCATTGTTCTTTTATTTTAGAACATTTTCATGTGAGAATTCAAAAGGCATGAGCCTTAGAAAAAATGCAGACAGCTAGGGCCATGTCCCTGCCCACCCTTCCCATGGGTGGACCAAGCCCTGGGTATTTTCCTGGACTTTTCCTGTGCTCTGGGCCCACACGAAGTGCACATGGGCAGATTACCACATGCACAGCCAGAAACAGGCCGCAGCAGCCGTGCACTCAGCACAGCTGAGTGGTGGCCTCCACCCGGCCCGACAGATCCCCAGTGCTTTCAGCGGTGGTAAAGGCAGGCCAACTGCAGGCCCAGCCCCACACCACTGAGACCCTTTGGCAGGCATGTGTGTTAGGACCAGCCCGAAAACCCGCGAGGAGGGTTACTCCAGGGCAGCCTGTACGGGGCCACCGGTCCCAGCAGTCCCTGGCACATGCCGCCGGTAGTGGGCTGCACAGGACAGATGCAGGAGCGAGAGCTGTGGGACCGCAGCTGGCGATGGCACTCCGCGCCCGTCAGGATGCAGAGTGGGTGTCCAGCTCACACTCGCTAGCTACTCTGTGCGTTCTCTGTGATCACAGACCGGCAGCTTCAGTGAACGCCAGACATCTGTCACTAAGTGCCATCTCCCTAACGCCACAGAGGCTTTGGCCATACAAAGCTTTATTCCTACAAAATGAGACTCGCCAATCTCTCCTGTCCGGCTTTCACGATCCACACAGGCTCCCGGACTGTGACCGCCTTCCTGTCTCTCTTCACGTAATTCAGCAGGGCTCCCATCTACTCCAGCCTTACCCTCAGACGCCCGTGTGTGAGTGATGTAGGACAAGGCTGTAAAGCAACTTGTGAGCAGCGTGTGAGGTATGTGTGCAAACAGTGTGTGAGGTGCATGAGAGCAGTGTGTGAGGTCTGTGAGGTGTGAGAGCAGTATGTGAGGTGTGAGAAAGGGGTGTGAGAGCGCAGGGTGTGAGGTGTGAGAGCGCAGCGTGAGGTGCGAGAGCGCAGCGTGAGGTGTGAGAGCGCAGCGTGAGGTGCGAGAGCGCAGCGTGAGGTGTGAGAGCGCAGCGTGAGGTGCGAGAGCGCAGCGTGAGGTGTGAGAGCGCAGCGTGAGGTGCGAGAGCGCAGCGTGAGGTGTGAGAGCGCAGCGTGAGGTGCGAGAGCGCAGCGTGAGGTGTGAGAGCGCAGCGTGAGGTGCGAGAGCGCAGCGTGAGGTGTGAGAGCGCAGCGTGAGGTGCGAGAGCGCAGCGTGAGGTGTGAGAGCGCAGCGTGAGGTGCGAGAGCGCAGCGTGAGGTGTGAGAGCGCAGCGTGAGGTGCGAGAGCGCAGCGTGAGGTGTGAGAGCGCAGCGTGAGGTGCGAGAGCGCAGCGTGAGGTGTGAGAGCGCAGCGTGAGGTGCGAGAGCGCAGCGTGAGGTGTGAGAGCGCAGCGTGAGGTGCGAGAGCGCAGCGTGAGGTGTGAGAGCGCAGCGTGAGGTGCGAGAGCGCAGCGTGAGGTGTGAGAGCGCAGCGTGAGGTGCGAGAGCGCAGCGTGAGGTGTGAGAGCGCAGCGTGAGGTGCGAGAGCGCAGCGTGAGGTGTGAGAGCGCAGCGTGAGGTGCGAGAGCGCAGCGTGAGGTGTGAGAGCGCAGCGTGAGGTGCGAGAGCGCAGCGTGAGGTGTGAGAGCGCAGCGTGAGGTGCGAGAGCGCAGCGTGAGGTGTGAGAGCGCAGCGTGAGGTGCGAGAGCGCAGCGTGAGGTGTGAGAGCGCAGCGTGAGGTGCGAGAGCGCAGCGTGAGGTGTGAGAGCGCAGCGTGAGGTGCGAGAGCGCAGCGTGAGGTGTGAGAGCGCAGCGTGAGGTGCGAGAGCGCAGCGTGAGGTGTGAGAGCGCAGCGTGAGGTGCGAGAGCGCAGCGTGAGGTGTGAGAGCGCAGCGTGAGGTGCGAGAGCGCAGCGTGAGGTGTGAGAGCGCAGCGTGAGGTGCGAGAGCGCAGCGTGAGGTGTGAGAGCGCAGCGTGAGGTGCGAGAGCGCAGCGTGAGGTGTGAGAGCGCAGCGTGAGGTGCGAGAGCGCAGCGTGAGGTGTGAGAGCGCAGCGTGAGGTGCGAGAGCGCAGCGTGAGGTGTGAGAGCGCAGCGTGAGGTGCGAGAGCGCAGCGTGAGGTGTGAGAGCGCAGCGTGAGGTGCGAGAGCGCAGCGTGAGGTGTGAGAGCGCAGCGTGAGGTGCGAGAGCGCAGCGTGAGGTGTGAGAGCGCAGCGTGAGGTGCGAGAGCGCAGCGTGAGGTGTGAGAGCGCAGCGTGAGGTGCGAGAGCGCAGCGTGAGGTGTGAGAGCGCAGCGTGAGGTGCGAGAGCGCAGCGTGAGGTGTGAGAGCGCAGCGTGAGGTGCGAGAGCGCAGCGTGAGGTGTGAGAGCGCAGCGTGAGGTGCGAGAGCGCAGCGTGAGGTGTGAGAGCGCAGCGTGAGGTGCGAGAGCGCAGCGTGAGGTGTGAGAGCGCAGCGTGAGGTGCGAGAGCGCAGCGTGAGGTGTGAGAGCGCAGCGTGAGGTGCGAGAGCGCAGCGTGAGGTGTGAGAGCGCAGCGTGAGGTGCGAGAGCGCAGCGTGAGGTGTGAGAGCGCAGCGTGAGGTGCGAGAGCGCAGCGTGAGGTGTGAGAGCGCAGCGTGAGGTGCGAGAGCGCAGCGTGAGGTGTGAGAGCGCAGCGTGAGGTGCGAGAGCGCAGCGTGAGGTGTGAGAGCGCAGCGTGAGGTGCGAGAGCGCAGCGTGAGGTGTGAGAGCGCAGCGTGAGGTGCGAGAGCGCAGCGTGAGGTGTGAGAGCGCAGCGTGAGGTGCGAGAGCGCAGCGTGAGGTGTGAGAGCGCAGCGTGAGGTGCGAGAGCGCAGCGTGAGGTGTGAGAGCGCAGCGTGAGGTGCGAGAGCGCAGCGTGAGGTGTGAGAGCGCAGCGTGAGGTGCGAGAGCGCAGCGTGAGGTGTGAGAGCGCAGCGTGAGGTGCGAGAGCGCAGCGTGAGGTGTGAGAGCGCAGCGTGAGGTGCGAGAGCGCAGCGTGAGGTGTGAGAGCGCAGCGTGAGGTGCGAGAGCGCAGCGTGAGGTGTGAGAGCGCAGCGTGAGGTGCGAGAGCGCAGCGTGAGGTGTGAGAGCGCAGCGTGAGGTGCGAGAGCGCAGCGTGAGGTGTGAGAGCGCAGCGTGAGGTGCGAGAGCGCAGCGTGAGGTGTGAGAGCGCAGCGTGAGGTGCGAGAGCGCAGCGTGAGGTGTGAGAGCGCAGCGTGAGGTGCGAGAGCGCAGCGTGAGGTGTGAGAGCGCAGCGTGAGGTGCGAGAGCGCAGCGTGAGGTGTGAGAGCGCAGCGTGTGAGGTGTGTGAGCGCAGTGTGTGAGGTGAGAGCGCAGCGTGTGTGCACATGACAGATAAATACTTCTCCAAGAACAGTGCAGCTCAGGAGGCAGCACTGGGGTTCCCGTGCCACAATGGAGACATGCGTTTTTAAATAATAATTAATAAAATTAAGAGAAATATTTCTTTTTAAAAATTTTATTTCATTTTATTAATCACTATTATCATTTTTTAATTTGACCAGAAAGATAAAGAAATTGAGAAAGCAAGCCTCCAGGTCCAGGACTCAAACCACAGTTGGCCGTGTCAGTGCCTTAACCACCACACCCCCTACCCCAATAAAATAATTATAAAAAAAAAAAACAAAAAACCTGAGTAGCTGCGCTAGCTGGTGGCATGGTAGTTAAGGTGCAGGATTCCACGTGGCCAACGAGTCCTGGACCTGGTCGCTTCAAAATCACACCAGGTACGTGTGTGTGCTGCCCAGAATCCCAGGGGATGAATGGAGAGGGAACTGTGGCCTGGCCATCAGCTGGGGGTGCTCTCTCACATTCCCTGTCTCTCCCTGGCAAGATCCCGAGAAGAGAATGGAGGGGAAGGGATTGTGGTGTGGCCATCCCCCCTGGGGGGTAATTTTTCACTTTCTGTCTCTGTCTCTCTCTCTCTCTCTCTTTCTGGCAAGCGCATGCTCTCTATAGCAAAAACCTCTCCGAAAAAAGAAAGAAAGCAGCAGATGGGATACGGCATGAAGACTGAACACTCAACGCAGTCGGCAAGCACATAGAATAGAAAAGCCACACTTTAAAACAGTTTGGCAGTTTCTCAAAAACCTGCACATCTGGTCATCACTGTTCCATCCAGAGTTCAGCTCATACTCCCGGGAGAGAACTGCAGCATCCCCCTGCTCGGGATATTTACAGCCATAGTGTCCATCATGGCCAGAGCCTACTGCAGCCCAGAGGGCTGCAGCACCCACCACAGAACCTGGAGGCAAAGCCGGCAGTACTGAGAAGCCACAGCGTGAGCAGCCTCCGGAGACCCTGCTGGTGAGAGTGGCCAGTCTCGCTGAGTGACTAGAGCAAAAGAGAGCAGATGGGGGCAGAAGGGCACATGGGGGCTGCCAGGTCTAGTGGGTAAGGCAGCCGCGTCCCAGTCCCAGTGGTTTGAAGAGCATGCTAGGTGCATGTACATGCTCTAGATCCCAGCAGGATGGAGAAGGGCCCTGTGGGAAGGAACGTACTGTGTCTCCATTGTCGCGTCCACGACCTGCAATGAGGTGCCCTGCGAGAAAAGGGAGCAGGCACAGGTCCTGCTGTTTCTGACAACTGCACAAGCCTACGACCACTTCAGAACACACGGCTTAATCTCCAAGTCCGTGACTACTGCAGGACAGAGATGGAGATGTGGAGTGTGGTCCTGAATCCATTCCTGGTGGCCCACACGTGTGCAGATGCAGCAGCCACAGAGGCAGGGCCTGTATGGCCCCACCCTTGAGGCAGTGGAAGACGGGGCCCCTGAACAAGATGAGCCAGGTCGGCCCTATCAGCACCCACCCTAAGCACTAGCCACACAGGTTTCAGGGCCCTCCTCGCCACGCATGTGCCTTCAGGAGGCGTGAGGCACTGTGCTTGGCTGGCTCTCCCCCAGCGCCCAATCCCACGTGCCCATGCCTCCCAGACAGGCA